TTTCGTTCCGTGGCGCCGGGAATCTTTGCCGCGGCGTGGCGTGGCGGCGGTAACAAGCCGGTGCGAGAGAGAGAGAGAGAGAGAGAGAGAGAGAGAGAGATCGCTGCTTGGCGGCGCCGTCGCGTCGCGCTCGCGGGGTAATTGCATTGCAGCCCGACGCGCCAGGCGGCCAGGCGCTGGCGCGGCTGCATCTCGCTCATTCCGAGAGTCGTTTCCGTCGCTCTGTCTCTCTCGCGCCCACCGGGGACGCCCCGCGAGTGCGAGAAAGGGAGGGCTGCAGCGGGGGTGCGCCCTACGCCCGCGCGTCCAGCCTGTAGCGCCTGCAGGGACGCACTCAGGCAGCCAGCGCGACGCCCCGGCCGGGCGGGCCGGCCTACCCCGCTGTCCGCAGGCGCTCTTCGCTCTTGTTCTCGCGGAGGGACGTAGCAGAGTGGCTCGGCTTGGAAGTTGGCTGTTCGATGTTCCTCTGCGATCGCTGGGGCAATTTTATGAAAGAGCATGAGGCCCGCGGTGATGATCGCGGAGCGTTCCGAGGCGTTTCACGGTGTGCACTGAGAATCCAAACGCTATGAGTATAGCGTCAATTGGTGCAATGCAAAAGCATTGCACATGAGGTGCGATGCCTCCCTATTCCCATGCATTAGCATAGGGCCTTTTCGGGATGCATTGCACGTAAGGTGCAATATGGCTATCGCATTGCACGTATGGTGCGATATCTCAGCTGCATTGCACCATACGTGCTATACACATAGCGTTTGGAATCTCAGTGTGGCCATCCCGAGGTGTTTGACGGTGTTTGCCAGTGCCCCACGGTGGCGCGGGCGCGCGTTCGGAGGTGCTTGGCGGTGGCCCGGCCGGAGTCTGGCTGATCCGGGCCCGGGCCCCACCCGAGTCGTTTCGGCGCTTATCTCGGCCGCCCCGCCGTGCAATTAAAGGGCGGCGGGTGTCCCCGGCGTGATATGCTGCAGCGGCCCGCCATTGTCTGACCCGAAAGGCTTGCCGAAAGGCGCTGCAGTTCTGGAGAAAACGAGCGCTGCCTCGCGGCCTCCCTTGTTTTCTTTTTGTTTTTGTTTTTCGCTTCCTCCTGCTGGCGGTTGCTCTCAAACTTGGTGGCTGGCCCGTCGGTCCGCCAAGTCGGCAAGACCGCGGACTTGCACTTGCTGATGAGAGATTTCAACTTCTTGGGAGCCTTTAAGTTTGGAATCTTTCCGACCCCGGCCCGGCGTGGCAAGACGGCGAACCAAAAACAACTCGTTTGGATAAGTTGCGAAAAGGGAGTTGGGGAGGCGAGGCTGCCGGCCGGTACCGGCCAGGCCAGCAAGCAACGCAGTGCGATCGGCGACGTCGATGACGTCAGTGACGCTCATCCATCGCCGCGGCCGCCCATTGTACGGCGGGCCGTGTGCATCAACGCCACGGCCTCGTTTGCCTCCTGCGAGACAAAAGGGCGCCCCGCCCCGCCCCGCCCCGTTCGAGCCTCCCTGGGCCCCGGTTGATTGCTCAAAAGATATGGCTCTGCCGCGCCATCTTTCTCGTTGTTTGCTGCCTCCATTTCCACCTCGCCGTTTCCTCTCCGATCCGAGGCCCGCGGCCGCGTTTCGGGACTCGGGCACCTTTTGTCCGCAGCGGCGTGGCTGCACCGAGCGGCACGGCGCGCTGCCTCTCTGCGACGCCAACTTGAACTTGGCCAAGGGCGCGCCTCTGCGGCCGCGCCAATCAGAGCACTGGGTCCGCATCGTCGGTGCCCCCCCCCCCTCTCCCTCTGCGAGATCCACTGCTGCAGTGTTTTTTTGGGCTTGAAACGGCGCCTTCTCCAAGCTGTCCATGTCCATGAGACCTTCCACTCCGTTCCAGATACGTCGAGGCCGGTGCGGTCGGCGGTCCGGTCGTGGTGGGGCGGGGCGGGGCGGGGCGGGGCGGGGCCGCAGCGACGTCACAAGGACTAATTGCATGCCAGCCGCCTGGCCATGGCCTGGGCGAGCAGCCCTTGCTTTGCTTGGGCTCCTTGCCGGCACACTGCCGGTCCAGCAGACCGCTTCCGAGCCGCCGAGGTCTGTCTCTCTCGCACTCGTGGCGCGTCCCCGAGCTGTGCGAGAGGGACAGACGGTGCTCCCCGGTGGGAAGCAGCCTGCCGGCCCCGCTACAGATAACGCCGCCAAAGCTTCCCCCGCCGCGCCTGGCTGCGCCACTCCCCGCCCTGTCACCTCCACCCGGGCCGGTGCGTCGTCTCGGGGGCGCACGGCGTGGGCACACCCGCAGGCTGGCCCGGCCGGTGTTCATTGAACTGTCAGAGGCGTGCCTGGGATGAGAATGAATAACGGCGCGGATTTTGACGCCGCCAGCGCTGCCACTACACTGGATGCGGTGGCGGGGGCGCGGCCGAGGTTGGCGGCAGTGCCGCAGCGCAGCAGCGCCGTACTGTAATTTACTCGGCCGGCTATGTGTTGGCAACAATGAGCAGATGAGGCATGGCGCTCGCGTTTTAATGAATGGAGTCAGTCTGACAATGATATGGCTTGCGGCCACGCCGTGGGTGCGTGCCGTTCCGGGCTCCCTATTCACCGCACGCACACACGTGCATCACCATCACACACGCTATACACACACACACACACACACGCGTGCGTTTACTTTTGCCTCCCGAACATGCGCGGGAGTTGCGAATCCCGGAGTCCCGGAGTGGCGAGGTGGCGGGGTCTGGCTGTGTGGTGCCGGGTGCGGCGGCCCGGTGTGGCGGCCCGGTGTGGCGGCCCGGCGGCCCCGCGGCGTGGTCGGATCTACGCTTCAAATTAGGCGCCGCTCTTCACTAATTGGCACCGCGCACCGCGGAGCTTCCCCTCGTCTTTCGGGCGGGCCGGGCCATTGTGCGTGACCGCCACACCGCCACGCGGTAGGATGTGGGCGGCGCCGTCCGGCACTGAAAATTGAATGGCAAGACTGATGGCCAAAATTTGGTGAGACAAAAAAGTCTCGCCATTTTTTGGCGAGAAACAAAAGTCTCGCCATTTTTTTGGCGAGAAACTAAAGTCTCGCCATTTTTTGGCGAGAAACAAATGTCTCGCCAAAATATGGCAATAATTGCAACCCCACTCTATTTGATACTGGGAAATATATCCCAATCAAGATCACTCTGGTAAACACATCACTAACTACAGTCTTTCAATTACTCAAGTTGAAAATAATACAGGAAGCTATCACTTTCAGATATGAAAATATTAATGTTAGGTTATATGATGTGAATTTGGTTTGCGTCAGCAAAGCGTTGCCCAACTATTTACTTTTTTTTGTCATCGTTTAAAAAGACATTGGTCCAGTGGGAGGTCTCTTTCAGTGTCCATGTAGTTAGAGATAATGTCTTTAATAAGAGGCCTAAACAAAGCGACATCCATGATGACACAAGTTCTTACTCTCTCCTTTGACTTATTCCAATCCCCAGCTTAACCTTGCTGCACTTGGGCATTGTTGGAGGTTCCATGGACAGAACTCGGTTAATAAACTCGAGTTAAGAAAGTTCTGTGCACTATCTAGCACTCTCCGTTTCGCCGTCTCCACTGGACAAAATGCCAAAGTACAGCAGCAGCACTTTAAATCGCCAACACAGATATAATAAAGAAAACATTTTAGTGCACAGCAACAGGACTGCCATGTTGAAATTCATTGTTGTCCTCGTTGTGTCGTCTGCTACAGTAGCATTTGTTTTGCGGTAGTGCCAACCTGCACTGCCTTCCAAAAGTAATTTTACAAGTAACGAAAAAAATGTATAGGTTGGCACTACCGCAAAACAAATGCTACTGTAGCAGACGACACAACATGGCAGTCCTGTTTGGTCCTGTTGCTGTGTTGCTTGTCTGTACACTAAAATGTTTTCTTTATTATATCTGTGTTGGCGATTTAAAGTGCTGCTGCTGTACTTTGGCATTTTGTCCAGTGGAGACGGCGAAACGGAAAGTGCTAGATAGTGCACAGAACTTTCTTAACTCGAGTTTATTAACCGAGTTCTGTCCGTCCATGGAACCTCCAACAATGCCCAAGTGCAGCAAGGTTAGCTGGGGATTGGAATAAGTCAAAGGAGTGAGTAAGAACTTGTGTCATCATGGATGTCGCTTTGTTTAGGCCTCTTATTAAAGACATTATCTTTAACTACATGGACACTGAAAGAGACCTTTTAGGATCTGACTCACTGGACCAATGTCTTTTTAAACGATTACAAAAAAAGTAAATAGTTGGGCAACGCTTTGCTGACGCAAACCAAATTCACATAATATAACCTTACATTAATATTTTAATAACTGAAAGTGATAGCTTCCTGTATTATTTTCAACTTGAGTAATTGAAAGACTGTAGTTAGTGATGTGTTTACCAGAGTGATCTTGATTGGGATATATTTCCCAGTATCAAATAGAGTGGGGTTGCAATTATTGCCATATTTTGGCGAGACATTTGTTTCTCGCCAAAAAATGGCGAGACTTTAGTTTCTCGCCAAAAAAATGGTGAGACTTTTGTTTCTCGCCAAAAATTGGCGAGACTTTTTTTCTTTCCCCTAGGTTGGAATGAATTCTGACCTTTGACTTTTCAGTGGGGTGGCGGGAAGTCTCATGCGGTGGAGCGGCAAATCGTGAGAATCGGCCGGGTCCGCGGAGCTGATTGATGTGACACCCTTTTTTACGTTGAAAGGAATGTGGCACGATTTACACTGTCCTTGACGTCACATCGCTGCTGGAGTGTTGGTGTCTATGGCTAATTATTTCTGAGAAGCGCCGGGGTGCTGTGGTTCTTAGGGACGCCTTGCGGAGGGTGGGGCACGCCAGCCCGCCAGACGCGACCCTGGGACGGGTCGGCGGGTCTGCCTGGCCTCGACCGTCGTCGCCTCCATCTGCCGCCGCCCTTGTCTTGTCCCCGAGACGGTGACGACGACGACGGCGGCGGGGTTACACCTCCGCGTCGGAGACTCTCCAACTTTGAAGAATGAAATGTAAGGACGGTGCCGTTTGGTGTTGCAGGGAGTACCCGTGCGACCACTACACTGCCGTCATCAACGTGACGCTGATGAACACGGGCTGCCCGCGCACGCTGGTGCACGAGACGGCGCTGCAGCTGCTGCAGGTGCTGGACAAGCGCTTCTTCGGCTCCGTGGGGCCGCTGGCCACCGACGGAGAGACAGGTGAGTCCAAGGCAGGCCCCCCTCCCCCTTTTTTCCTTCGTCTTCTTTTCCCCGTACCCTTTCGACGCCTGCCCTCGGGGCCTCCTGGAGCAAGGGGTGGGGGTCTTCCCCGTTTTCTCTCAGCAGTTCTCATTTCGCCACGCGAGCTGTACTCCGCCCCGGGCCAGCTCTTGATTTGCCGTGCCGGCCGTGCCTCGGTGCGGCCGTCTGGCGTGGGCCGCCTCGCCTCGCCTCCTCGGCTCTCTGTATCGGTGATGCCCTTACTTAGCCTGCCCCCCTTGGGAGAGGCCCGGCCGGCCCAGCTCGGGGCAGCGTGGCACGTCCAAGGCCTGGTGACGGGCCGGTCGACTGATTCCGTTCCGAACGTCGCGCCGTCTCTCTCGCTCCCCTCCCGGACGCCCCGCGAGTGCGAGAGAGACGGCGCGACGAAGACAGTCCCTTTCCTGTTCGGAACGCCCGCCGTTCCATCTGCACGTGACGTCGTGACGTTCGGGTGGACCCGGCCTAAGATAATGTCCCCCGTCTCTTTTCCCGCACCGTCTATTTTTCTTCTTTCCGCCTTCGTTTCCCGGAACCGGGCCGGACCGCTCGTCATCTGGAGCAATCGGCGCGTCGCTGCGTCGCCCCACTCGGGGCGGAGTTAGGGCCGCGCGAAACCCGAAACGCCGGCCAAGACGTGTGTGTGTGCGTGTGCGTTGTATGTGTGTGCGTGCTCTCGTGTGCGTGCGTGGCCTGTGTAAGTATTCATAACGCGTGCACGCGGCGGCCTACGGCAGCACGGCAGCACGGCAGCACGGCCGCGGTGGGAGGGGTAGTGAGTGCGCTCTTGGCGGCGGTCTGCGGCGCGCGTTTGGAAGACACTTTGACTAGCGCAGTGCGGGCGCGGCGCGACTTAGTTACGCCGCTGCCGCTCGTGTGCGCGAGGGGGAGGGGGAGGGGGAGGGGTTGTTGCCGACGAGGGGCTGCTGCCCTAGTAGTGACAACGTAAAGGCAAACTTTCGTGTGTGTCATCGTTATCATCATCCACGGCGAGGCGGAGGGGGGAAGGGGGGGGGAGCACGACGTCGTGGAGTCGCAAACTAAGTGATGCCGCGGCGAGTGGCGTGGGGAGGCTGCGGGCCTTGTGGGGCTGCTCGAGGCTGCAGGCAGGGTAGGCCTAGGCTCCACACCGGCGGCGAGCTCGGCGCACAGTCTGCTTCAAAATCGGCGACTGGCCGCGCCGACACCGACGACGGCGGCCACGACGAGGCGCTTTCCCGATGTCCCGCCTTTCCGCGCTGCTGCGCGTGCAGGAGACGGTGCTGTTAGCATGCTCGCTCGGTTGAAAGCAAGGCGACGCAGTGACGCAAGCTGCGCGGTCCTGGACCCCCCTCCCCCTCCGCGATCCGTATTACGGACGTGTCGGGGCGACGGTGGAATCCAAGGCGGCGGGCCTAGGCCGGCCGACCGGCCGATTGGAACGGATTGCAGGGGAGAATTGAAACGGAATGCTCTGCGCAAACAGGCTTTTCCGCAGCGCTGCTCTTGGCGCGCCGCGCCGCGCACTGCAGCCGCAGCCCCCCTCCCCCTCCCCCGCGGCATAAGGCGCCCCCGGTCACGTCGTCGCCGTCGTCGCCGCGATGCGAGTGCGTCTCGTCGCTCGGCTCTCCGAGGCCTCTGCCGCCGCGCTGCCGCGCCGTTAGGCAATTGGGCTAACTCAATACATGGCGGCCTTGGCTGGCTGGTGCGGCCTCGGCCGGGCCTTGGACGCCTTGGCGCGGCGTGCGGCGCCGTGGTGTCACGCCCAATGGGGTGCCGGGCCGCCGCCGGGGCACTCCCTCGCTGTCCGCCCGCTGGCGTCCCCGCCATAAGCCCGGAATTTATCGGCGACAAAGGGGAAAAGAGGCTCTCCGGGCCGCGTGCGTTCTCAAACGACACGCACCCGGCGCGGCGAGACGACCTGCCGCCACCGAACCACTCCCAGTCTTTGGCGACTAATGCGTGCCCCGCCGCCGTGACGGCCTTGATGGCCGCGCTGCGCACTGCTGCGGACTGCTGCGCGCCGCTGTGGCGCGGCGACACGCTGTCGTCGTTCCGCTTTGATTGCGAGGCGCGCGGCGTGCTCGCGACGCACTGCCTCACCGCGGCGTGCCGGGCCTCCCTTTCTCATCAAGGCCTCCGCCTGCAAGCGCGGGTGTGTGCGTGTGTGCGTGTGTGAGAGATGAGGAAATTATTATGCACGCGTGCTCGCGCGGCATGGCTTCTCTCTCCGCTTCCTCCCTGCCCCGCCCGCCGCGGCGCCCGCCGCGTCAGTCCCCGTATTCTGTTGTCTTGAATGGTCCTTCCTCCACTGCCGCTGCCGCCGCTCCGCCCCCGCCCCCTCCAACCCACAGGTGGCCCATCTCGAGGCACTAGTGCTGGCTGTGCCTGCTGGCGGTGCTTCCCCCTCCCCCCCTTTCCCCTCAGCGCGGTTATGATCCACTCTAGGCGGCAAGAGGCTTCTGCCACGGAGCCGCGATCCGGACCGCGCGTGTACTGGTGGCCGCGGTGGCTGGGGTGATGTTGGAGGCGGTGTCCGTCCGTGGAGGCTCGGCCGGTTGGGAAGGGAGGTAGCCGAGCGAGGCCGCGGAGGCGATGCCGCCTCGCTTCGCGGCGCTGCACTTGGGGAAGGCAGTGTTCGGAGTCAGTGTGCCGGAGTGCTGCAGGCTGGCTGCCTGCCTGGCGGGCGGGTCGCACAATCAGCAGGGCGACGTCCCCGCGACGCCGCCACCCTTCCGGCTCCACGCTTCCGGCACCGCGCTCCGCGTTTCCGGCTCGTTAGGCCGCTGCGGCGCTGCGCCCGGAGCGCCGAGGCCGCCAGGTGGTGCGGTGCGGTGCGGGACGAGAACGGAATGACGAGCGTGTCGCCGTCTTTGTCCTACTCGCGGTGCTCATCAGTGTTCGGAAAGCCTTCTGCTTCCGCGGTAAAACAAAAACAGAAGGCCGTGCTTCGGCGCAGCAAATTGGGTGGTATGGGCAAGGTGTTGTTGAACTTCTCCGCGGTCTCCATGCTAAGGGTCCCGTCCCGTCCGCCTGCTTGCCCGAGCCGCTTGCCCGGCCGGAGCCCCTGCCATGAGGAGGGTAGGCCTCCCGCCGCACGGCCCTGCGCTGCGGGCTGGCCTATGTCGAGCTTCGCAGGCGCTCGGTCCGCCACTCCGACTCTGACAGTCTAACTCCGCACGAGAAATTGACTGCCGCCGCCCAGCTGTTGCTTTTGGACGACGTGGTGACCGAATTTTAGGTGACTGAGAAACCTCTTCTGGTTTCCGATTCCGACGCCAGCCCCCCTGTGTCTCTCTCTCTTTTTGTTGTTCCGAACGAGACAGGGAGTCGGTGCGTTCGGACCGATTACGGTCAGACGTCCGAAGTTGTCGCAGAGAGTGGTGCCCGCTGGTGCCAGACACCGGCCGGGTTGTGTGGGACGCTCGGCAAACTTGGCTGGATTGACTGCTGGCTGGCCCATCGCCCGGATCGTCCCGGGGTTGAGTCAACTATGCAGCGACACAGCCCGGGGGCCCGAGAGTCCTTGGGGGGCCGGCCGGCATGGCGGGGGCGTCCCGGAGCGCGCTGCTCGGATTGACTCAAGTCCGCCACAGCCCGGGTCTGAGTGTGTGCGGCGCCGGCTTGGCCAGCACCGCGAGTACGGGCGGTATTCTGTTAGTCTTTGCGTCGCTGGGCGACCGTGCAGGATTACGCCACCCCGCCCCGCCCGCCGTCGGAGTGGTCCACCAGTGCAGCGGTCGCGCGCCACCTCGCCTCGGCCAGCATTTAGCCGCCGCCCTGAAAGCAATCACCGACCGGAGCGCCGGGGCGGGGCCGGGCCGGGCGGCGGGCCGTGAGTGGGCAGTGGACGGGCCGAGGCCGAGGCCGGGCGGGCACCGACGGCGAAATGAAATGGCCGTCCTCTTTGCTCGTCCTCGCGAAGCCCCAAGCCCGGCCGGACACGAGTCGTCCCGATTGTGTTGATGGTGGTGTGAAATTAAACGGGGGCGGTCTGGGGGCGGCCGGGCCCGGGGGCGGTGCAACTGCGGGCAGAAGGAGAAGGAAGGGGCGGAGCTCTCCGACTGGTATGGCGTAGCCGCGCAGCAAGATGCAAGAAAATGGATCGGGGAGGGGAGGTTTTGCTGACGCACTCGAGGAAGTGTGGCGAACTGGTTGCACTTTTTTGCCTCTTCTTGTATAATCGGGAGTCGGTTCGACTTGGGCGCTTCCTGCTTCGCCCCTTCCCCGCACCCGCGGCCGCCACTTCCGTTTTTGCCCGCGGGGCTTCGACGGGGCGCCTCGCGGTGATGAGGCTCTATCGGCAAGCTGCAGTGGCGCGAACACGCGAAGAGGGAAGGGGCGCCCGCCGAGCCACCACTGGCCCACTGGCAGCGCCGCCGCTAGACATTTTTAACAGGGATGCATTTGCGACCTACACGTGGAGCTAGACTGCCGCTGTGGCCGCGGTGCTCCATAACGGTTTTACGAGTGTCTAGGTCGTCGTTCCACTCGGCTATTTTGAGGCGGGTGGCCGCGCCGTGACGTCACTGACGTCGTCGTTGGCCGCGGGCGTGCGTCCGGGCCGCGGGGCTCTGGGGACCGCTGGGGCGCTCGGTGGGGCAGGGCAGCCTACGCGCTGCAGTCCGTCATGGGGCCCGGCGTGGCCGCCGCCATCGGCGCGGGGGCCGGCACTGCGCTGGCGGCGCTGGTGGCGCGTGGGAGGTGCAAACTGCGCGCAACACGAGAGGGGCAGTCTGTCGCTGCGGCGCGCTGCGGCGAGCAAAACGACACTGGTGCTATAAATAGACCGACTCCCTGGGGCTGGATGACGGGTGGCTTGTCGGATGAAAGCACGTTGTATACGTAGTAGGTAGCGTCTTTTTGTTTTGCGCGTTTCTGCGGCTGGATTTAAACGTACTTTTTGTTGCCATCAGTCCGATTACCTGAGTTTAGTTTTAATTTTAAAGGGAGCCGAAGTTTTGCGGTACAAGAAAGGATTT